ATCTACTCCTTCATTTTGCCCCCGAGGCAATTCTTAATATTACAAGGAATGAGAAAGAGAAAGAAAGTAAACAAGAGAGAGATTAAGAAAACTGTGGGTCTCTTAGGGAAATTCTTCCTTCTGATAAAATGAATAGAGGAGAATTTTAACATCACCAGTTTTTTAAATGCTTCATAATTGCATAGTTCCATGCATAAAAACCATCCAAAATGAGCCAGTATTATCAACAGGTCATAGAGGATAAATCGTATAGGTGAGGAAAAGGATGTACTTGTTAAGGACAATGTGGCAAATTACTGACATCTGGGAAGGAGTGCTTAATTCTCAGGATCACGGCTAAGTTCTGCACTACTGCTAGAGAAGTTTTACATGAAGTGGCCTTTATGGACTGAATTGTGTGCCCCTGAAATTCCTATGTTGAATTCCTTACCCCCAGAATGTAACTGCATTGGAAATAGGGTCTCTGAAGACATAACCAAGTAAATGAGGTCATTAAGGAAAGCCCTGGCCCAATATGACTGCTGTCCTTATAAAAAGATGAAGACGTGATTAGGACATAAACATGCACAGAGGGAAGACCACATGAAGACACAGGCAGAAGACAGCCACCTACAAGCCAAGGAGAGAGGCTTCAGAAGAACCCGATGCCTTGATCTTGAGCTTCCAGCCTCCAAAATGGTGAGAAATAAATTTCTTTTGTTTCAGCCATTCAGTTTGCAGTACTTTGTTCTGGCAGCCCAGCAAACTCACACAGTTTGGCAAATGTTAGTGTGGTAATTCTTGATTTTTTTAAGGCTCAATGATAGGACATAGGTTATCCAGCCTTTTTTATTTGTTTGTTTCATTTCTATTTCATGAACATACTTCTCACAAATTGTGTATAGTAATCAAAAGAAAAATAAGCTTGGCAAAATTTGTTGGAAGGAGAGGATTTAAGAAAAAAATATCTGTCTCTTCTCTCTTTGAACTCCACCCAGACAGAGTGAAGTACCCCTCTCCTCTCCATGCTCCTGTTATGACACTTAGAGTATAAGGTTACAGAGCTTTTCTAGATTATAAACTTTATGCAGAATTCTTTTTTTTTTTCTTTGCAGGTCTATTACTGCCCTCATTGTGCCTGGGACATAATGTTCCTAGTGCCTTGGGCAATGCTTGATATAAAATGAGCACTTAGTAAATAGAATAGGTTCTCAATAAATATTTGGTGAATCAAGGGACCCTACAACATTGGTAACTTTCCTCTTTCTTACTGACAGAGAAACAGAACTTAAGTAATCCCAAGGTTACATTCATTTTGGTGTTTGAAGGGCTCCCCACCCCCCCCCAAAATCATACTCCTCTTTTCTGAGTTCTGAGCCATTACTGAAGACAAAGGAGTCTGAAAATAGAGATCAGAATACCACCTTTATTATTAAGACTAAGTTGGAGAACACGATGTATAAGAACCAAGGGCTTCCTAATACAGAACTTTAAAAGTCAAGAGTCTTTCCTGTTAGTTTCAGACAACTGAATTGACTGTTCTCACCATGTAAAATACACAGCATGGAGGGAAAAACAGAATGACCCGTCCCTTGGCAACTGAATCCCATAGAAGGGAAGAAGCAGGAAGTGGCATTTTGACAATCATGAATAAGATATGCCACAGCGCCTCCCCTAGAGAGTAGTATGCAGGACGGTAAATAAAAATCAGGAGAGTGGGTCTAAGGGAGCACCCTCTGCCAGGAAGGAAATGCTAGGAAAGCCCCTCCTTCCCAATCAGCCCGGTGTGTCCGCCACTCAGACTCAAGTCCTCCCACACCAGGATTTCCCTTACTGTGTTTGTCTCTATATAATGATTCATCAGAACCGGGAATATAAAGAGAGTCGACCTAACCTGAATTTAGGTCTCTAGAACTGATTAGTCTTTAAAACCTTTGTAGCTCTAACATAAAGGCTGTATTATAAAACTCCACATTTGGCACATGGTAGAAACCAAATAAAGAGCACAATGACTATTTAGTAAAAATACCACGAAAAGAAACAACCCTGGAGCATTTCTGACTTGGCACAAACTTGAAAGGGAAGCGACTGGAAAATGAGAGCTGGGAATTAAGGGAGGTGGAGAGGCAGGGGTGGGGAAAGAATTTTTTTCCTAAGAGATTTACAGCTGGATTAGTGCAGCTACTTGCTGTTTTCAGAAATGAGGAACAAGAAAATTTGTTCTGTGGTTTGTCAAATGATCCTTCCAATTAGCCCTGAGTGCAATAGTAAGGAATTATTGCCTACCACTAGTGCTGTGCTGGTAAATATTTAACAAATGGTTCTTAGCGTAGGAGGAGCCCTGATTGGTAGCATTTGCCGATTCCTGTGGTACGAATACTCCAACCATGGCCCATTTCAAGCTCCTACATGACATCAACCAACTCACAAAATTCCTGAAAATTAAACAATCAGCTCTCATGAGACAGTACAGGCTAGGTCCACTACTGCCAATAAAGACAAGTGCCAGGGAGCTAAAAGCTCCATTGGAAAGAGCACAGATCACCACCTGAGGGTCTCAGCAATGCCACAGACCAGGTGAAACAAGACTCTTGGGAGCCCACAGAGTGACCAGGGAAACGCATACCTCTCCCGCTTTGCTGGGGAGATGGGCTGAGTTCTGGCACACTTCTGGCAGAGGAACAGGACTAGACTCCAGCTGGAGGGCACTCTTCTGGCTCTCCATCATTTTCTAATTCCACACATTTGAAATAGAAAATAATTTTTTTAAAAAAATAAGTAGAAGATATACCAAGAAGAGATGTTCAAAATATTTCCAGTATTGTTGAAAATAGAAATACTGATGATAACTGTATACCTGTAACTTACGTAATATTGTACAGCAACTATACTTCAAAAAACTCACATTAAAAGAAAGGAAAATAGCGATACTGATCTCAGCTACTATCCTAATTCTACTAATTAGGACTTTAGTTTTCACTCATCAGCAACCTCTAGGGTTGCTGGATGTGAAGGAGACTTGGACAGAACTGAGGAACTGCCAAGGTAATTAGTACAAATAATACACTGAGCATTTCCACTGACCACATACTAAGAATGATAAAACTTGTAATTCACATCCAGCATGAGTAAAATGACTAAATGCAAGCATTTTCCATATATAAAAGGCTTATAGTGCATAGAGGCACAGGATGAAACTTTAATTTTAATAGTGCTTTTTTTGGTTCTAATTAAGTCAATTGTGGATCTCTTTGTGGGTGCACAGTGACTTTCCTCAGGTAGTTAATTAGAGACTGTGTCTAACTGAGCACAATGGAGACCCGGAAAGGTAAATTAAGATTGGGAAAACCTCAGATGACAGAAGAGATTACAAATGCTATTAAAAATTTAGCAGCAGGAGGGGGTAATGGAATGCAAACTTTTTACAGTTCTTAGATTTTTTTCATACTACATTTACTACTATTATACTGTACTTGGAACTATGCTGAAGAATACAGAAGTTAAATGAGAGTTTTGGTCTCCTGTAATTTGATAATATTATGCTATCTTCCCTAAGCAGTTGTGGATTGTGTCCTCATCCCTTCTCTCTCTCATGCTTAGAAATCGGTCGATACAGTCCTCTTTACTTTCGGAAACTTTGGGTTTAGTCTTAACATTTGCTCTCATGGGATTATGGCAGCCTCTGGAATGCCCACTTTGCATCATTTGCATGTGTGCCTTTTAAATCTGAACACATCAGAGATTCCCTGTGCCATTACAAGGACTTATGTAGGTGCCCCACTGGAGGGGCATTTCAGAGACAGTTGAACTTGCTAGTTTTCAGGTCACAGGTCACACTCAGAAAGCCTGGGCTTTGGACTTAGACTAATGAGTTCAGATCGTAGCTCTGCTCTTGCGGTCTGTAGAAGCTGAAGCAAGGGATTTAATCTCTGAATTTTCATCCCCCCCTTTGTAATCTGATAATAATAATATGTTATGTAATACTCATGACTTTTAAGAAAATATTAAATAATTTTTGTTCAGTTGTGTAAGTGTCTAGCTCAGTGCCAAGACTCAACAATTTTGAGTATCCGCCCTTCTGCTGAATTTTTCTAAATCCATTTTCCTAATATCTAGGTTTATTTAACATAGGACTACGTTAAACATCTGTTATGTTAAATATCTGATATGATAACCCCATATCCTCTAACAATCTATTGCTTGTTTTGGTTAGAGGCAAATCTAAAGCAGCGGCAGTAAAATGAGAAGGAGAAAGATTATCTGAATCACCTGGGGGGATTTTGGAATGACAGCTCTTCTCCCTCCACTGCCAAGCCCAGTGGATTTAGTTCTACTGGTTGTTTTCTCAACCCTCTGAAGAAAGAACAAAGTATCACCTAAGCAAGGCAATAATGTATCAAATTTTTTTTTGTCGCAGAATGAGGCTTCAACTAATGTCTGAGTGTTGATGTCTTTCCACGACTAATAATAAGGTTGAGATTTTACATTAGAACAGAATCATATGGTACCCACCCCCCAAATTCATAAACTTTTTTTCAATCTCATGATTTTCTCTACTTTTATTTTTATTCAAATATCTCTATTAGGCCTCTCTCTTTTGATTTGTTCTAAGAAATTTTGTATCTTTTCTTTTCTTGTTTATATATTATCTTTCCTGTTTATGAAATCTACCTTTTAAGCAAACTATTTTATTTAAATAGTTATGGGTCATCTGTCCCAACATCAAGATCCAGTAATGCCTACTTTATGAGAATATTTAGCATATTACATTTTAGGTACACTTTATAAACTACATTGCATATTGACCTTATACTTGCCTGAAGCTGTTAGTTTGGCTCTTTAATTCCTTTTTTTTTATTCTACTGTGACACACATCTCATGATGTAACCATTGCCAGCCACACAGTAATTTTTACAGCGTTACCTACTCATATTTCTCCATTAATGCCTTCCTCTCAAATTCTAGTATGAAGTTATTTTGAACAGAACAAAAAAAATTTTCCAATTCCATTGTTTGGGTACCTTAACTGATGGTCCAGCATATCAAATTCTGAAGCCTTGTGCTCTTCCAAATATTCTTGCTTATTTTCCAAAGTCACAGCCTGAAACTTAAAAAAAAAAGAGAGAGAGAAATTAAAGTGCAGCCTGCCTCCTTTAATCCTTTAGGTTTCTAATGGGATTTCAGATTTGCCAGATGAATAAATGAGAAAAGTTTCCACAGTATCATGTAAAGCAGCCAAACTGGCCAGTAGGCCGTGAGCTTGTAGGCTATGAGTTTTGTAAATTTCACCAGCCTCTCCAGCAAATCTCAGCTATATGCTCAAGAAATATCCACTCACCTTCTAAGTCATTTCAAAGCTGGAGGCAGCGACCTTTGTGTGCCTCTGCAGGAAAAACATCCGCTGATGTCAGTACCTGCTCTTTACAAGTGCAGGTCCCTGTGAAACTTCCTTATTGGTCTCTGATTCTAAAGAATATATCCAGTGGCTTAGTGTTTCCCCTCCTTCTCCTCAGCCATATTCTTCCATCCAACAGCCCCCTAACTGAGGCGGGAAGCCCCGTAAAAAGACCGGCAGGACCCCTAGGCAGGGCCGCTGCTCTTCTCCCAGCACCGTCCGGTTTCCCTGGCCCAGAGGCTCTATCTCACTTTTCGCCGCTAAGGCGGCTAACCTAGAATTCTATTGGTTCCCTGAGCTCACTTCTGATTGGTTATTTCCTTCACTCCTGATTGGTTATTACTCTCACTCCTGATTGGTTACTACTCTCACTTCTGATTGGTCCAGTTCCCTAACTTCTGATTGGTCCATTTGTAGTACTTTTTTGCATGGAGCTCACTCTTGATTGGTCTATTTCTACAAAGCTTGTTCCTGGTTGGTCAACTTCTGTCATACTTTATTTGCATATGATGTTGCAAAGTGTAAAACTGGCAGCCTATAAAGGCCTTTGTAAACCTACGGACGCGGTCCAGAGCTTGAAGTGTTAACTCTTCTGGGCCCGCTGGTGTAATAAACCTGAGTTCTCCAACTCTCCGAGTGCGAATCACCGGAGCTGTAACACCAAGCTGTAGCACATTTTTCGGCAACAAACTGGTCCTGAGTCTTTTCTAGAGGGTGTTGTTTACGTTCAGCGTAGCTTTTTGGGTTGTTTATCCCACCCTATCTGGAAATAGTGTTACTTGCACCTGTGCACGTATAACTGAAGCACAGAGGATGGTTCCTTTTCCCTTTTACCTGCTCACCTCACAGGTAGATTTGCTCAAATTGTTAACATGTTTAATTGTTCCCCACCTCAGGCAGAAATCCTAAGAGCCTCTAGCTCGTTGGAAGATTTGCCTCAGTTGTGCATACCCAGCTGTGTATATTAAACTTTTGCACAAAAGAAGAAATAGAAATATATTTCAGTCCCCATCCCCGCTTAAAAAAAAATTACATCTTATACACTTGTAAAGTATTTGATGGTAGCCAAACACTGGATCAATTCACTGAGGAGAACAGGGAATTTACCTCTAAAGACTGGTCACTTAAAAATAGATAAGATGTTGAGCTATGCAGTTTATCACTGGCACACAGCCTGGAACCTACAAGAGATAATGTTGTGGACAAGTAACACTTCATTAAAAATTGAAAATATATTACTCGCATCAGTAGTATGTTCCTTTCGGCTGCTTACACTGGGTGTGTAATCTCTATGACAGCGATCCCAGTGAAGCGGGCTGGGGTGCATTTTGCAGACCAGGGAAATTACATAAGCTTTTCATGATATTTTCCCGCAAATTATTTATAAGGGAACAATAGCTAGGAGTCTGGAGCAAGGGTTTGAAAAGGGCATTTAAGACTCAGGGTAGCCAGGCCAGCAATCTCACAGACACCTGATTTGCAAATGCTAGTAGTCTGAATTAGGTTTCAAGGGAAGCTTTCTGTTAGTCAATATCCATTGCCAGGGGTGTGATTGTCTCTGTGATTTTCTGGGCTAGTGTTTTGGGATTTATATTTGGCATGATCTACTCTGAAAGAGTGCTGAAAAGAGAGAGACTGTACTATGAGCTCAACACCAAAATAAAAACAATAGCAGTGTCTCAGGGCTATTTTCTTAGAGATTTATTGGGCCTTATTAAATTTGGAACCAGTCAAGAAGAATACAACAGCTGTTGTGAATCTCAAACAAAAGCAAAACAGCCTCTTCTTGTTTTCCTCCTATGTAGCATCCCTGTAAGCTGGTAAACTCTCCGGGCAGGATCTGTCTTCCTTATGCTTACCAACTGGAAAGCAGTGTTTACATATACAGTGCGATCCAGGAAGAATAATCTAGGAGATTTGTCTTGATTTACTTTTCATTTCAGGACATTTGGGAATAGCTTCCAAAAAAAAAAAAAGCTGAACTATAAAGTCTACAAAAACCGATTTCCACAAAATGAAAGACTTTGGAGTTGTTTTCTATGTTTTGTTTTTGTTTTTGCACCATCCTCCACATACCTAAGTCTTCACTAAGGAATTCTAAGAAAAGATTTTAAAATGGAATAAAATGTAATAGTGAAGTATAGAAACAGATATTGGTATTAATTTGAGCTTATGCCTCAGGAAAACTGGAAATGCTAAGGCAAGCTCCCAGTGATCTATTTTAAAGCTGCGACATGATTTTGAAAAAATACAACAAAACAACAAACAAACAAAAACTTCACCATACAAACTTTTGTTTTGGACATTTTTCTGTATAGGGAGTATCCAGCATGTGACCTCAAGGTCAAATGAGGATCACTTGGGATTGTAGGGGAAAAAAAGTTTCCTTAGTTATATTTAGCATCTATCAGCTAATAAGGAGCAATGTTTGTTCAGCAATAAATTTGAGTTTAGTCTAAATATGAGAAAATGAGTTTCCTTGCTACACCAAGCATCTACAATTGATAAAAAGGGTAAGAGGACTTAATAGATAAAGTTTGCCAGAAGAACCTTACCGTAAGAATTATAACCCTGAACCTGCAAATGAGGCTCACTGCTTGCTGTGATGGTGGAATTAGTTGAGGTGGTGCATTTGGATCTATTCGTTAGCTAGTTAGGAGTATTCAGAGAAGCTGAATTAAAATCTTACATTTGAGTTTACTTCAGTGAAACCTTATGGCTGTATCACTGTATCAGAGTCCAGTGAGAAGTTAGAAATTGTATCTGTTATTTTAATCGTGAGCTTTAATATAAAGAATTTCTAGCCCCGGCATTGGAAAACTCTAGAATCAAAAAGGGCATCGAGGAGATAGTAACAGTAAGAAGCAGCTATAGCCCCTAGGCTGGGGGGAAAAGAGAATGAAGTTAGAATCTTTAAAAGTTAGAAGCTTCGAGGAGAAAGGGCACTGAAGAATGGGGACTCAGCATCTCTGGGGGGCAAGGGAGGAGTCTCTGGCCAGCTGGTGCTGGTGTCTCCAGTACTCGGAGGAGAGACCTTATGCAGCTGGAACCCAGAGTCTGGGGGAGCGGGGAGGGGTTGATGCCCTGCCAGCTGCTGCTGGGATCTCTGAAGGGAATTCAGGGAGGCTGGTTTGGGGGAGTGACTATTGGACAAACAGCAAACTGAAATAGCTGCTGCTAGTAGAAAACCATTTGCTGCCAGAGTGAGGAGGCTTTGCTAGGGCAACAATGATGGGAGCAGGAAAAAGAAATCAGGCGTAGAAAGTAAACAGGACGGAGCCTGTTCCTTCCTTGTCCGCCAGCCTCCTGCTCTCTCTCTAGTGCCTCCTATAAGCCAAGCGCAGCTGGGAGTCAAAACAGAAATGAAGTTTACAGAGTCCCAACCCCAGCCTCCCAAGCATCATATGGCTGCGTGGCTGTGACGCTGTGAAACAATAGTTTAATAACTGACACAGCCTCTGAAACTTGACGGAGATTCACTGAACTGCTTCTGCAGATCTGGCACTTCTTGGAAAGCGTTGTCCCTGAGATCGCTGACTTACTGGCTCGCTAGTGGTTCACAAGGTTGTATTTTTTACTGATATGATAGAGTAATTCAACACAATGAATTTGAAACTGCAGGGAGAAATACAAGAAGACCACTGATTTGTTCCAGGAAGTGAGTGCTTTCACACTCAAATTTGTATGGATAGCACCAATGCCCACTGGAGACTCCATTCACTTCCACTGGTAAACTTCCCTGTAGTCAATGGAACCATGGTTACTGAAGGACTGCAGAGTTATTTACAGAAAATGTGGTCACGAATTTGGGGAAGATTCACAGTCTCTGAGCATGACTCATACTGTAAGTTTTCATGATTGCTTTTGGACTATGAACCTCTCTGCGTGACTGAATCATCAAGTATCTGCCATATCATTTCAAGATGATTTTATTCTGCCTGGTAGAGCTATATCTATCAAGAAGACAGAGTATCCTGCAACTTTGGATGTAAACAGTGTAAGTATAGAAAATTCCAGAACTGTTATGTAATTTCTGGCTATGTACCTGCCTTTTGGCTCTGTAAAAGGATGTTCTCTTTCTTAAAAATAATGAAACTAAAGCCTATTGTCATCTGGTCCTTATTTGAATAAAAAATAAGACATATCCTGATTTTTATACCCTAAAAATCTTGAGAACAGTTTGCTTTATTATGTACCAAACAGAATTTCTGTTGGAGTTTTAAAACTTCAATAACTAACCATAGAATGATTTTTATAAATAAACCAATTAAACTGTCTTTGACAAATTTTTATATTATACTAAAAAATCTATGTATTACATATTTGCTATGTATAAAGAGCCACAAGATACGTAAGTCCACACAATCTCAAACCTTTGAGGCCAGACATGTTTCATAATTCAGAAGTTTTCTGGTTTTAGAAAAGTAGTGAGGCACATATAATTAAATACTGTGTTCATGTTCACATTAACTGAGATCACTAGGCTATAAAGTCCCATGCCCATGCATACCAAATCAGGAATTATTATCATTTATTACCAGATGAGTTCCAAGAAAACCTTCTGATGTTAGAACATGTAAATTTTGGGAATTATGAATAAAAGCACTGTAGACTTCTATATTATTAACTAATGTCATTAGTAAAATACCTACATGTCTAAAAGTTGGTGTATCCAATCATGTAATCTTTAATTATGACATCAAGAAAGCTTCACAAAGGTGATTTTTTTAATAGAACAGACTTTAGCATATTTGTATACAAAAGAAGAGAAGTTAGCTAAGAGTCGAAGATATGAGAGATAAAAGTAATAGATGTCACAGAACATAAAAAATAAAAAGAGGAAGGAGACCCTTCCATTTTCTTTCCCCCTTAAACAGCATTTGCTGAGAGACTTCTATACGCGAGCATTGTGCCAGATATGGAAAATGCAAAGTCAAGTAAGAGCAAGCCCTGCCATCCAGGAGCCTTCAGTCTAGCTAAAGAAAAGCAATGAAGTATGAAAAATAGCCCTAGGATGGAAATTAACAGATGTACAGTGGAACTGAAAGGATGAAATAATTGATTCTTCCAAGGAAGGGAGAGTCAAAGCATTTCATTGATAGATGATGCTTGAAAAATAAGCAATTATTTTTCAGATTGGGGGTGGGGGTGCTGAGAGGAAGGAGAAGATTACTTTTAGACAGAGGAAGAGGTTAAGCTGGTGCACGTGGTTCTGAGACGGTGTCATAAGAAATATAATCAACAGCATAGATGGTGTTATCCTA